ATGTACTTGTCTCGGTTTTGGATCCGTCCGTGAAGATTAGAGTCCATTCAGGGAGAAGAAAAGTTGTAGACTCAGCAAAGAGTTGTTGATAAATGGCGGGGTTGGTGTGACTTTTGTTGAATTTCTCCAAGCTTAAAATGAACGATGTATGTTTTATCTGCCAGGTAGGAAATACTTCTCTCTGCCGTAGTGATGGCATGGTAATTCCAAGCCTTCTGGCGAGTTCTATACACAGTGAAATTGTCGATTTGCGCCCAGGATTAATTTCCCTTTGGGGTCCGATCTTACTGTTTCGTAAAGAGTACTGTTGTGGCATGTAAAAAGCTTAGGTATAAGTTTCATTAGATTCAGTTCGAATCTCTCTTCGATTGTGGGTAAGCCGGCTTCCACTAGGACGAATTTGGTGGGCGATTTTGGAAATGCGCGAATGCTTCTGCTTACTGCGATGTGGTACGGAGAGTATAATTTTTTGATGTGGATTTTCGCGCAGTTACCATAGATAGGAAGGCCGTAATCTATCTTCGAGAATACAAGCGTTACATTTGTTAGAGTTGCAGAGTTGATTAAATAATGTTTAGAAGATAAATATTTGATAATGTTCAGTCGGGCAGCCAGTTGCTTTCTTAGGTACAAGCAATGTTCCTTAAAGGTAAGTACCTAATCAAAAATTACACCTAAGAACTTAAGACTATTAGTGTTTGAGATAGGGCTGTTATTGTAAATAATTGTAAAGTAATCACATTTGTGCTTGTGACAAATGTGGACATTTTTGCATTTACTTACAGCCACATTGGCGCCCGAAGATTCGGACCATATATTGACATCCCTAAGAATATTTGTGAAGTCCCGTTTAACAACATTTAAATCATTCAGTTTACTGAAAATGAACATATCATCAGCATAGCAAATATGATCAATATTTATATATTTATTAATTATATGGCTCACTTCATTAAAAGCAGCGATAAAAAGGGATACAGAGAGGGGAGACCCCTGGGGTATTCCGTTATGGAGAGTAAACGGGTCTGACAAAGTGTTGTTGACTTTACAGACGAATCCTCGGTTTGTGAGGAATGACTGAATGAGTCTTAGAATATGGCAACCAAAGCCCCATTTTTCGAGATGCCGTAGTACAACGTGGACTCCAACCCGATCGAAGGCCTTTTCGAAGTCAATGCTAAGTGCAGAGAGATTTTTATGCAGAGAGGTTTCTATTTGCTAAGGCTGAAGATGCATGATTTTCAAAGAGCAGCAAAGCATCAATGGAGTAGTTTTCCCAGGCAATTCAGTAAAGAAATAGGCCTAAAACCTGAAGTTTCTGTRGAGGGATTGCCAGAT